GCTGCCGCAGACGTCACACTCCTCCCATGCCACGCACTTGGACTTCGCCACTTCTATACAGAAAGTCAAGGACGTAAGTTGAAAGTAATGTACTTTATCAATCACTACGTTTCCACCGAGGGGCTTGGAGCCAACACTAAGTTAGGGTGACTAGGCCATAGTTAACCAAGTTGCCCAAGTGAGGGGTGTTTGTTGACATCACACATGTCTTTGAATTTCTTCGCCGAAATATGCGGGTTGCATCACGATGTTTTCCTTCGCCGTAAAAATGTCGGGTAAATTATGTACTTATAAAAATTCGAAAAATCGATAATCACATTGGTACATGGCATGATTCGAACCCAAGACCTGTAGATTACAAGAAGTGCTTAAACCACTGAGCCACCGACGCTCCGTTGTACTTTATACATCGATATTGCATTAAATAACTGATTATCTGCTTTCAGTATCCGTGGTACTGGGGCCCCATATCTGTGGAAGCGGCTGAGAAGATTTTGTCTAACGAGCCCGACGGCTCATTTATTGTCCGCGACAGCAGTGACGACCATTATATCTTCACCCTTACATTCAAGCTGAACGGTCTCCGCCATGTTCGTATTGAACATGATCAAGGTATGTCTTCTATTTCACAGATACTTCAGTAGTCTTAAATTGTACAATACCTACGATTCAGAATGTTAGATTTTGAATAAGAAAGAACGCCTGTATATCCGTCTGTTCTTCCGAACTTTAAATTCATGTTATTGACGAACACGCGCGTAGTTTTGTATATATTTATGCATCTGACTGTACAGAACAATTCATTTCGGGATAATTCTATCATCTCGTTGTGAGTATCTACTAAATCAATTGAACTTCCAACTGGTATGCGGCTTGGGTAGAGCACCTTCGTGTTTCCGTCGTTACCTTTGACAAGCACTTGATCTCACTCGAGTACAAACGGCCGTCCGCGTGACTGAATGTAAACTATTTCGAATGTAAGGGTTTGCATTGTATACATATATCGAACATGTAATTGCTCATTCTTTTAAACAAACACAACAATGCTAGACAACTCGAATACAAATGTAAACAGTTTAATATTTTGGTATTAATTACATCATTGCTTTAAAATCAACAAGGTCTAATAGAAATGCGTTATTAAGAGCGTAACCGATTATGTACGTGTATGGCGTAGATGTATGAAAGTGATAGAGGCGGATGGACAACTTAGACACTGTTTTAAATACATTTTAACGGAAACATACATCAACCCTTTTAAACCGTGAAATTAGCACTCCGCGCAGGTGTTTGAAAAATCGTGATCATAGAAATATTATTTCAGGCTTTTGAACTCCGATGTTCGCCGATACTGGATGAGTACATACGCTACTATTGTTTTTTTTTTAATTGCCCACGGAGGGAGTCGCGAGCTCAAGCTAGTACATAAAATCGTGCCTTACCGGACTACTAAAGCAGGTTTAGTAATATATATTTACGGTGAAACATACCCACATATTGGGGAAGGCCTATGTCTAACAATAGGCAATATAAACTGATAATATCGACGAATATAATATGAAGCACTGGTCAGAGTTAAACGAGTATTTATAACAGTATATCTTCGATGTTGACAATCTAGTGTTGGTTTATCAATTAACGCATGTATTTATAGCTGTTGGAATTAACAAAGCTTAAAAAGTGAACAGCGCGGTAAACAAATATTGACGTATTTACAATGAACGATTTGATTGCACGGCATACTAGTAAACTACGAGTTTGTTTTATTACTCTCGTCAATATTTACTTCATACAGACTATTTTCGGGCGAATCGTGTTTTTTATTTGATATTCATTTCCATTTTTTTTTTTTCATATATATGGAGCCTGCGGCTATGAATCGATTCTTTTATTACTATCAAATTTAATGACGAACAAGGCTGCATGTAAAATAATAAATGCGTAACAATATTTAATATATTTACGATGAAGAAATAAATATAACTATGTAATATTCAGATTTTTAAGTAATAATTTTCATTTGAATATGACGTTTACTATTCTTAATTTCCTTTTAGTAATCGGGCTAATCATAGAATTTAAAAAAGAAAACAATCCTACGGGCACTAATCAAATCAAGTCAAAACAATTATGCTACTTGGACACATTAACGTACCGAGTTCTCTTTAGCCCGACATTCTAGTCCAGCGAGAAGTAATGCCATTTACTACTAAATTAAGAGAATTTATTGTACATTTGACAGGTAACTTTTGCTTCGGTGGATGCACGATGTTCAAAGCGCAAACGATAGTTGAGTTCATCGAGAACGCGGTGGAGACTTCGCGCTCAGGTCGCTACTTGTTCTTCCTGAACCTGCGGCCGGTGTTGGGGCCGGTTCGTGTACAACTGCTCTACCCCGTGTCGCGCTTCAAGCGCGTGCAGAGCTTGCAGCACTCCTGCAGGTCTGTATAACGTTTTGAACCCGCTGCATTGTGGCGCTTTAAGTTCTTTTAAGTCACTTTAGCAGAAATAATGCGAGTTAACTTCGTAGTTTAAGCGCCAGTAGTGCTTAGACGTAATAGCGCTATGTTAAGGGATTAGGGGAAAAATTATTCTAATTATAATATAAGGTGTCCACCTTATTTCTAATTCTAACTAGTTTCGATCGATTGATGTTTGTTAGAGTTTCTCGTCTAAATTGCTGAAGGTCTCTATGAAATTTGGCATAGATATAGAACAGTCTACATGAGGGGTAGTGAACCGCTGGCACGCGTGCAATAAATAGCACAAGAAACAATACGATAAAATTATGAAGTAGGTCCCCCATGGAATTGACGACATAATCGCAGTCAAAATTATTCGATAGCACATCTAAAAACGCATTAATCATTTCGTAATACAAAGAAATGTTCACCACCCCTGGATTCTACTTACTTTTCGTAATCAACGTGGATGTAGTCGCGGGCGAAAGCTAGTTCACTATAAAATCAATATACCGTAAACTTAAAAATGCTATGGTTTAATATTATTAATGTTTTTTTTTTTATAAATTTCAGATTCGTGATTCTTAAATATGTGCGACGTGATCTGATCGGCAGTCTACCGCTACCTCGCCGTTTGCTGGACTACCTCAGTGCTACTCATTATTACTCAGAGTTGCTAGCCGAAATGTAAGCTACCAATGCATCAAATCGACGTACGAAAAGGGTTATAATGCATTTTATTTAAATCTGAAGATGTTCCCCTTTTTGTATGACTACTCGAATAACGGCCATTAAAACGTTTCGCACTCAACGGTAGTTCTAAGACTTTAAAGCTCACAACTCTGACTAATCTATCGCACAACTGTTTAGTCACGCTTTATCCTATGATCTTATGTGAAGATGCGCACACTATTTGGTTTTGCGCTGCGAAACAATGGACAATCGCACAACAGTTATGCGATAGTTTAGTCCAAGGTGTGCGCCCGCTCTAAGGCTATTTTAGATGTTAGTACGTAAGTAATACTGTCACATTCAGTACGAAATATTTCTCGTCAACTTGCAATCATGGTGTAATTAGTTTTAATTTTCGGTGTAAAATTGTATAAAATTGTATTTATGTACAGTCAGCTTTATAAATATAAATACATTTACAAAACTTGTAAAGGCCGTCGGTTTTAAAAGTATTAATGCACGAACCTGTCTCTATACTTTCGATTATTATGCATAATATTAGTAAATACTTGCCTAAATAGTTTTAAAACTGATGACATCCACGTTATTAAAGTTTTGTAAACGTGTCCATATTTATGCAGCCGACTGTACACAGGCATGTGGTATTTATAAGTTTTGGAGTTTTTTTAATTATTTTACAATTAAAACCTTTCTCATATCTGACTTGATCTCGTGAATTAAATGAGCATTTCGAAATGGGAAAGGATTTATATGAAATTTATTAAAATATTTGTATTCAAATGAAATTTGATATCAACGAAGTTTTTATTACTTTTAAACTAATTATAGCTTTTATATTAATTCTAAATTTTAAAATGTTGGCTGTGTAACTAAACAGTATTAGATATTTAATGCAAGTAAGTTTATGGTAACGTTTTTAGACAAAGCCACAGATGCCTGGAAGATACATTCGTTGAATAGAGTTACATATGTAACTCTTTTCATCGAAAAACAATTTATACACACCACGACAGAATGCCTTAAAATCATGCACCAATTATAGTTAATGGGTAAACTAGTTAATAGTTTGTAAAGTAAAAATCAAGTTAACATTTACTTTTGCAGAAAACTTGTTTGGTGTTTTCATTTGATAATGTAATTAAGCGTATAGTGTGATTTTAATATTGGCTGTATTAGAATAGGGTTTGCGCTAATATCGAAATCGATGTATATAATAATTGATCGGTTGTAAAGAAATATTTTTATAATAAAATAAAAAAATCTAAAACGTAACATTGGTAAAACTATCGGTTTACCATCAGCGAGTTACTACAAAAAAACTTTCAAATGAAAAAGCATAATAAAACAAGGTTCCATCTAATATATGAAAAATGCAATAACAACGTAACTAAAATGCTACAAAAATACAAAACGTTAAGACTTTTAATTTCAAGTTTTAATAAAATGGACATAATACCTTCAGTTTTCTTTGTCGAATATATATGTGTCATTAATGTAGGTACATAATACATGTTTTAGTGCACATTATAGTAGCAAAATATGAAAAAGGACTCTATATTTATACTTACAATATGTTCCAACACAACCATATAATACTGTTTATTACACATAATTTTCCTTCAAAATTTGTACATAACTTTATTGAATGTAATTTTAATTAAAAGTGAGTTGTGTGCTATTTGAAATTAAAACATTCAAGATATTTCAAGGTATATATTTCAGAGTAGGATTTTTTTTAATTATGCTGTTCTGTTTCTACAGAATCTCAAACTGAATGACAAATTACTAAGTTAAAAAGCACATAAGTATTTTTAACTGTAACCACATATCAAGCATATCGATTGTATTGTTTGAAATAAACTCCCTTTTCGACCGACTTCCCAAAAGAAGGAGGTACTCAATTCGTTTGTATGTTTTTTTAAGCAAAGAGCTTTAACATTTTAAGTTGATATGATTTTTTTTCAAATTCTGAAGGAAAATAAACCGTCGGAAATCGGCAAACCACTCGTCAAACCAATCATCACAAATATATATAAATAATATTATATAAGAAATCGCGATACTTATAAGTTCTGACAAGTTTTTTTTTAACTACATTTATGTCGAAGTTTTCATGTAAATATTTGATTTAAGGCCTGTCCCACCACTGGCTGATAGAGGCTCAGATAGCTTAAAAGTAACGTCATTGTCAGATAAGAAAACAAAATCCGATTAATCTATCACATATTTTATACGTTGGTTATCTGACAATTTACAAGAATTGTGGGACAGGCTCTTAAACTTTTTTGTAGTGCAATATTTTTTAACTGTTAGATAAATCTTGTAATATTTGATTCAAAGAAAGGATAATGCCACATGGTCTTACATACACCATAAAGTGGTTAATATTCTTTCTATGATCCTATTTTTTCAATTACGTTAAATTAAAAAAAATACTTTTGTTCTTCGTTTTGAAACTTTCGTTCAAGATTCAATAAATTAAAATTGCAAATCCAATAAAAGGTATGACCTTGTATGACCTTGAGAGAGTAAAATGCAAAGGATTTTGTATGAAAGAGCAATGAAGATCCTTTGATAGAATTGTGATGTTAGAAAGAAGTATCTTGTCTAGTAATAATGAAAGAGATAGAGTTTTATCTGTTTTAAAGTATGAGAGAAAAAGAGAGATTGAGTGAAAGAATTTTGGAAGAATATTAGATATTGAATATTTGCTTCGGTTGGCTTTAATACACAATCATACTAATATAAATGCGAAAGTTTAGATGCATGGATGTTTGTTAAAGTTTGTGCCCTAAACTGCTAAACGGATTTCGATAACATTTGGTATAGATGTAGAGGATAGTCTGGAAGAATACATAGGCTACTCACTTATGTATATTAATTCTACGCGGAATCGCGGGTGATAGCTAGTCTGTCTATGAACCGAAGAAAATGTGAACATTAAAGTGTGTACTAAAAAGTATTGATCTCTTTATTGTGTGTGTGAATGTGGTTATCATGGCTTCTAAATAGTTTATGTAATACATAAGGAAAATCGTATTTATATAACACATTTACAATGCATGTAGTGAATTATGTAAGTTTTCACTGATCTTTTACCTCCTAAAAGTAAATAAAGGTGACTCTAGATGTCTCATAAATGCAATTTATAATGCAAACTTTTAAGTTGTGTTCGTCTTCAAGTGGCTTAACACGTTCAGTGCTATCTATAAATGAAAATCTTATTGGCATTTAACGTGTTAAATAAAGAATTTAGAACGAAGTAATCGTCTATTGTACATATGTAATATACAATGAGGGATGTTATTTAACTAACAATGAAGTTTCAAATAATCTTGCTTTATTTTATCAATACGGTGTTTCAGTGTTTCTGTTTTATGATAAAATGTCTCAACCAAAGAATGAAACGTGTTTGAAGTTATCCTTAGCCGTGATTTATTTGTATTGTGGCTATTGTTTTTATTATAAATATGTTAATAAGTCTGTAAATTTCATGTTATTTGCTTTTAAATGCTGTTAATAGTTTAGTTTTATTTTAACATTTAAGTGCTTTCTAGTTTTAATTTATTGACAACGCCCGTTAGTATTTTAATCAGTGATTTTTTTTATTTTTGAAATTTATCGTCAAAGTTTTTCATACATTTTGTCTTAAGTGGGTTTAAATTTTTTTATCGAAAGTCATAATTTTGTCGTCGATTTTCTCAGTTATAAGAATTTATTATCTATCTTTTAGGTTCTGTCTATGTCTCTGAATTATGGCACAATAAATGTTTAACAATACAATAATAGGAGGGTTCATACCGCTTTATGTTGTAGACACCTGAATGATGTTTATATAATTTTGGCCCACTTGTGTACAAATATGTCAAATGGATATATTAAACTGCTCTAAAAGACCTGAAAACATACAAAATGAAATTACAATGATTAGTATCATGCCATCCAAAGTTTACAACGGCTCGGAGTATTCCGGGAGGTTGTTTAGAGCATATTGGTATCAGTACGTATACGAGTGCATCGCAGCTACGAGCTGCAATAACTTTTGAATCTTATAATACGAAATACATGACCGTTTACGAATATGTTGAACAGAATACAGGAATTGATTTCTTTTTACAAAACAACTTTCGTGTAACAATTTAGTTCTATACTAAATCCTGCATAAAATCGAGCTCCGTTACTTCAATAACAGACATTAACGCACAAGTACAACTATAATTCTTGCCAATGTATAATTACTTTATAAATATGCGCTTACCTACGTTTTTTACTATCGCTTTCCAATGTTCAATCCTACAAATACTACCAAAATACGTTTTTACATCAACGTTTCGCCAGTGGAAACGGTTATAAGCATAAACCGTATTGATCTTTACGCTAATTCTTCAATCTTCAATCAAAACTGTAACTTATCTTCGAGGAAAAATTAAGTATTGTGTACATTTTGTAATAACAATTTATATGGTAAATAGACAAGAAAGTTATGTGACACCCAAGTGTTTACTGATAAGCAGAAACATCGTATATAGTAACAATTCAAAAACAATCTAAAATTGTATTAACCACAGGTCAAACTAAAGTTGATAAAGTGTCAGAAAATATTCTATCACACGTAGATGGCAGTATTAAAATAATGTTGGTTTAAATCAAGGCGGTATTCAGCAAAGACAAAGTAATGTAATAATATTAATAACAGTCAAAATAATGCTGTCAAATTTGATTAAACTTAACTTTAGATTTTTGAGAACTCAAACCCTTTCTGGCTTCCTGAGATCCTGAATTTCTGATTTCCATGGTAAACCCAGGCAATCCAATATTGCTTCAGTAACTATGTAATGGGGATGTTTCCTAATGTTACAAATCCAAATAAAGTTATGTTTAATATTTTAAAGACAGCATTTTATAACCTATAATAACATTTAGAGACCTTGAATGTTTGTCTCAAATTAAATATAAATTAAAAACGCTGCAATATTTTTTACCCTCCATTACTCGATCTCAAACACCAATGACGTCACTTTCTTGCATATAACATGGCAGTGTGACCAACTTCAGTGAATGTCAGTGCATTTTGTAGTTATATTTTTTTCTAAATGATTGTAATAATTGAGTTTGCGTGTTTTATATTATGAGGACTCCATTATTGAGTGTTTTTATAATTACGACATAAGTTATGAGCAAAACATTTTATGAATATTACAAAAGAAAAATATATCAAAATTTATAAGAGTAGCTTATAGTACAATTTAATTTATACCTGGTCACACTGGTGTAGGACGCAGTCACTGTTTACACACAAACATAATCTTCCACGAGAAGCAACAAGTGTAATTAATACGTTAAAAGTATCACCTCCTGTTCATTTTGGTTTTTTCATTTTTATCTCCATTACTAAAAACAACTTTAGACAACAAAGATTTACGAGTATTATCAATCAATGGTTCTTTCAAATTGACAGTGACAGGCCGTGACGCGAGGTTCGTATGCAAAGAAGTGACGTCATGGGACGTTTTGGGGGGAAATGAAAGAGTTGTTTTTATTTACGTGTTTTTTTATTGAAATAATGAGTTTTATATTTTATACTATTTTTTTTCGTGTTCATACATGGTTTATCTACAAAATAAAGGCTATTCCAAAAATTAGGAAACATCCCCATTGTACTGCACATCGATGTTTTTGTACAGTCCAGGTATTTGACGGTGTTCTACCTCAAAAGACAAATGCAAAACGCAAAAAAAAGTCGCGAGTCAAAAACCAATTTCTTATTATCCCATCGTTCGATCAACTACTTGCTACCTAATTGATTATTTGTAAGAAAAAGTGTAGTGTGTGACATTGCAAGAAACAAGGATATTTTTATGTATGACTAGCTGTTCCCGTGCGACTTCATCCGCATGAAATTATGAAAATTTTATTTTATTGTACATCTATACATCTGTCAAATTATCAATTACAAATTACATGACATGATGACAACCTTGTTTCCTGGATGTTGGCAGCAACTTATGGTCTCTTTCCACCATTAGGGTTTTTATGCAAAATATTTACCCCCTAAGTTTAATAGCGTTAAAATATATAGCCTAAAGCGTGACGTAAGCGTAGGGCTCTTTATTAAAAAAAGTATTATTCAAAAATATGTTGTAATTGCTGACATCTTAGGCAACAAAGAAGTGTGTGTTTACGCTTTATTATAATAGTATAGATACCGCGAAGTGATCTAACTGTACAGGTGTTTCGGTAAAAAAAAAATCAGAAGTATTGTTACATTATACAATTTGCAGGATTACAATAGATTGCCCACAAATTGCTTATTTTTATATACGTATACATACTTATAAGATCCGCTTAACTAATGCTATTAAACACTTGGGTGTCCATTTCGGTTTTGATATGTAATATATGGGACGATAGTAATATATTTTCTAGCATATTTTGTATGTTATTCTAGCGGTTAGTAGTATGCTGTCGAGTAATGTAGCGCGTTGCGTTAAAAGTTTTCTTTAAATGACGGTTGTATGTGAAATGAAATCGAATGACGTTGTGGTAACAAGATAAAACTATTCACAGATAAACTCGCATATTAGGGTATATTATATTGTATATGTAGGTTTCCACTACCAAAAATAATATATCGACGGGTGAAAGGGTATTTGTTTCAACCACCATTTTAGCCGATATTGTCTTTATATGTACATATTTAGAATCAGCGAATTAAATATGAAATAAATAATGAAGTATGCAGAATTAACTATAGTAATTTTAATCTTAAACCGGTCTGAACATCTTTCAATTGAAATTATTTTGAGGATCTGCTTTTATGTTTTTTTGTTCTAAAAGTGAAAACTTTAAATGGCTTTCCTGAACATTTAACCTGGCGCTTAAAACAAATTCCCTTTCACCAATCGATATAAACTGAGAAAATGTTTTGTAAGGCAATGTGTTTTGATTGAATTTAGGATGAAAAAAGTTGTTTGTGTGTGTTATTTAAAAAGATACAACGTTGGATTATTTGTGAATAGTTTATTAACTAATTAATGACTAAATCTAGGCTGTGGGTGAACCGAATAAACATAGTGATATAATACATTTGTATTTGATCGTGTATTAATATAGGTAAGTCGGCTTGTGGGGTTTCGTCTCTGGCCTAAT